TATTGCACACATCCCGTTATTGCACACATTCAGGTATAGCACACATCTAGGTATTGCACACATCCCGTTATTGCACACATCCAGGTATTGCACACATCCCGTTATTGCACACATCCCGTTATTGCACACATCCCGTTATTGCACACATCCAGGTATTGCACACATCCCGTTATTGCACACATCCCGTTATTGCACACATTCAGGTATAGCACACATCTAGGTATTGCACACATCCCGTTATTGCACACATCCCGTTATTGCACACATCCAGGTATTGCACACATCCCGTTATTGCACACATCCCGTTATTGCACACATTCAGGTATTGCACACATCCCGTTATTGCACACATCCCGTTATTGCACACATTCAGGTATAGCACACATCTAGGTATTGCACACATCCCGTTATTGCACACATCCAGGTATTGCACACATCCCGTTATTGCACACATCCCGTTATTGCACACATCCCGTTATTGCACACATCCAGGTATTGCACACATCCCGTTATTGCACACATCCCGTTATTGCACACATCCAGGTATTGCACACATCCCGTTATTGCACATACCCAGGTATTGCACACATTCTGTTATTGCACACATTCAGGTATCGCGGCACAAAGACCATCAACAGAGACGAGGGGGCCTTCACCGTGGCTCACACCGGGGACCACGGTTCTGCGAGGGGCGTGGTCAGTCTGAGGGGACAGAGACACATCACACGTTAGCGCTTACCTTTCACAGCAAGATAGTCCTGCTTTCGATTCCACCTCCAGGATTATCTGTGTGCAGTTTGAATGTGCTCCCCGAGTCTGCATAGGTTTCCTCCGTGTGCTCCGGTTTCCCCTACCACTACAATCATGCACAATAGGTCTGGCTCGCAGCTCCTGTAGAAAACCTGCTCCCATCTCTGTGTGGAGCGAGAGACAAAATGGCCAAAAAAACAAAATGGCTGTTCTGGGCCTATAGCACCTATAACTGCTATAACTGGTGATGCAACACTGACATTTCCCTGCTGTCGGACAAGTAAAAGATCTCTCTATCTAAAACTTAATGTTTGATGTGATTATTAAAGGAGAAATGTCAAAAGAAATGCCCTGGATTCACACTGTGTTCTTTTCCCATTCCTAATGTGTGATTTATCCTTGTAATAATAATAATAATTTTGGTAAACACAGATCAGTCTGATGCGTCTGACATCGATCACTTTAACTGTCTCTTTGATGTCACAATGTTCCACTTATTTATGATCCAACAAAAACATTTAATGTGTTGAAAACTTAGTAATGCATTTGTGTAATTAATTGTGTGTGTGTGTGTGTGTGTGTCTCCGTATATCTGCGTGTGTGTGTGTGTGTGTGCATGTCCCCGTATGTCTGCATGTGTGTGCGTGTGTGTGTCCCCGTATGTCTGCATGTGTGTGCGTGTGTGTGTCCCTGTATGTCTGCATGTGTGTGTGTGTGTTTGTTGTGCATGCATTTGTGTGTGTGTTTGTTGTGTATGCATGTGTGTGTGATTGTTGTGTATGCATGTGTGTGTGTTTGTTGTATATGCATGTGTGTGCGTGTGTGTTTTTGTGTATGCATGTGTCTGTTTCTTGTGTGTGTTTGTTTCTTCTGTATACGTGCCTGTGTGTGTGTGTCAGGTGTGTGCAGGAGTACAGGTTGTCGGTGGACGGTCGCTCGTGTGTGTTGCAGTCAGAGAAGTGTGAAGGATCCAAATGTCCGCGACACGACATCAGCTTCAACAACACACTGTTCTCAGAGATGCTCCACGGATACAACAACAAAACACAACAACACAACCTGGGACAGACCTTCCAGATGACCTTCAGGTACACGCACACACACACACACACACACACATACATACACACATACACACACACACACACACACATATACACACACACACATATACACACACACACATACACACACTGATACATACACACATATACACACACACACATATACACACATACACACACAGATACATACACACACACACAGATACATACACAGATAGACACAAGCACAGATTCAGATTCATTTATTTGCCATTTGCAGTAAAACCACATTGGAAAAACTGTGCAAGACTACCCCAGTGTGCACCAGACAGAGAAGACGACACAAACCAGAGCTCTTGCCACGGCGCCATCTTTACGGCGCCATCTTTACGGCGCCATGCGACAAACAGTAGAATAAACAGCAGAGAGCAGTAACATACATGTCACAGACTGTTTGGATAAAACACTGACGTTTTTATTGTGGAAGTAAACTCCGGCCACCCTTTGCCTATGTGGGCCGTCAGAGGGGGCTAGGTGAGGGGGGGGATGAGGAGGGATGGAGAAGCGAGTAGGGAGGGGCAGAGGAGCGGACAGGGGGGGTCTAAAGCTGGGTATAGCTGTAAAAGTGTGAGGCTTGTTGTAGATTGGAGAAGTCCATGTTATCTTGGGCCTTGGCAGTAGGTGCTGTATGTGAGAAAGATAAGAGTGGAGACAGACACAGCAGGAGAGAAAACACCTCGCCTTGAGAGGGACAATATTATATGCAATGTAGCGGTCAAAAGCAGGGCAGATATTCTATTACATCCAATTAAACCGAATTGCTGCGCCCTCCGTACACAGGGGCAGATCCATGCCGGGTCAGAGAGTTCATGATTGGCAAACGATGTCATTCAGCCTCATCTCTAGAGTCTTATGTCTTTCGACTGAACGAGCTGCGAGGTCTTTTATCAACTGTTCCACAAGCACCACTTTGTCCAGACACGGCGCTCTCAACCACAACACGGCTTAGCTGGGGCGGCACGGTGGCTGAGTGGATAGCACTCTCGCCTCTCAGCAAGAAGGTCCTGGGTTCGAATCCCGGCCGGACCAGGGCCTTTCTGAGTGGAGTTTGCATGTTCTCCCCGTGTCTGCGTAGGTTTCCTCCGGGTACTCCGGTTTCCCCTACCGCTAAAAATATGTCCAATAGTTCCGGCATGCGCCTCCTGTACTGGCCCCGCTCCCATCTCTGTGTGGAGTGAGAGACAAGTGCGCAAAATTAACAATTGTAAACCACTTTGAGACTCAGATCTGGTAAATAACTTACTTACTATTAACTCCTTGTACATCCCATCAATTGTTTTGGACAGCACACACACACAGAGACACACAGACAGACAGACAGACAGACACACACAGAGACACACAGACAGACAGACAGACAGACACACACAGAGACACACAGACAGACACACACACAGAGACACACAGACAGACACACACACAGAGACACACAGACAGACAGACACACACTCACAGAGGCACACAGACAGACACACACACAGACAGACAGACAGACAGACAGACACACACACACAGAGACACACAGACAGACAGACAGACACACACTCACAGAGGCACACAGACAGACACACACACAGACAGACAGACAGACAGACAGACACACACACACAGAGACACACAGACAGACAGACAGACACACACACACAGAGACACACAGACAGACAGACAGACACACACACACAGAGACACACATACAGACAGACAGACACACACACACAAAGACACACAGACAGACACATACACAGAGACAAACACACAGACAGACACACACACAGACACACATATACACACACACACACAGAGACACACACACAGACAGACACACACACAGAGACACACAAACAGACAGACAGACATATACACACACACACAGAGACACACACACAGACAGACACACACGTACACACACACACAGATACATACACAGATAGACACACGCACACACACACAGACATACACACACACTGATATATATTACTGCATTGTTATCTCTGGGTATTCATTAAATTAATACCATTCATGTTCCACTCATACAAATGCTATGTGGTAGAGGTGGTTGTTTTTGTGCTACAATGCTAGCTCCGGTGCTAGCTCCGGTGCTAGCTCCGGTGCTAGCAAAAGTGCTATTCTCCCGGTAGTGACATTTCAGATGTTTGTTGCTGGTGTTATACATGTTTGTTTTGGACCAGCAAAATATATCTAGTATTCAGTTTTCTACAAAGTTAAAATAGCTATAAACAGTTAAAGTAAAACATGACTTAATACAACACATTTAGAACCACAGAGTTGTGAAAACACGGCATGAAATAAAACAGAATCCATTTTGCTTTTAGCGTTAGCGGTGTGTGTGTCTGCGAGGCTGTGATATTAAACCACAACTATCTTTATTGACGGAGCGACTGCGTGTCCTCAAAGGCCGATAAATATCTCCCTAAACGACCCATTTTAACAGCCACTTAACCGCGGCTGTGTGTGCGACTATTGTGCGTTTTTAAAAAGCCAGTTCAGGCTCTTATTTAGTTCAGAAATCAATGTTCTCTTTGTCGAGCGCTGATCATTTGCTCCGAGAGTCGAGCAAAATACAAAGTTGTTTACCTCACACTTGATTCTCTTTCCGATATCTCATTTCTCCGGCTCCCGAAGAGCAGACGAATCTCCGAGATAATTGTCCGAGTAAGAGAAAGAAGTTGTGTATTCACCGTTCATTATGTAAACCTGGGAGAGAATGACTAATGCATAAGAGCGGGTTGTATAGATTCTTCCTTAGTGTAGAAGAAGCTGATTTGAACATGAGCGAGCTGGAGACTATTTCCTTATATGGGCATCTGTTCCGGGGCGGCGGTGGCAGAAACAATCTGTAGTTTGTGAGAGAAACATCTAAATATCTGCTAATAACAGGTTTTATTTTATACATAAATAACTGTGTTTCAGAGTTATGAGCCCTACTCTACTCTACCCTACCCCTACTCCACTCTACTCTACTCTAAACTCTACCCTACCCTACTCTACTCTACTCTACTCTAAACTCTACTCTACTCTACTCTACTCTAAACTCTACCCTACACTACTCTACTCTACCCTACCCTACTCTACTCTATCCTACTCTACTCTACCCTACTCTACTCTACTCTACCCTACTCTACTCTTCCCTACTCTACTCTACCCTACCCTACTCTACTCTACTCTACTCTAAACTCTACCCTACTCTACTCTACTCTAAACTCTACCCTACCCTACTATACTCTATCCTACTCTACTCTACCCTACTCTACTCTACTCTACCCTACTCTACTCTTCCCTACTCTACTCTACCCTACCCTACTCTACTCTACCATACTCTACTCTACCCTACCCTACTCTACTCTACTCTATTGTACTGTACTGTACTCTACTCTACCCGACTCTACTGTACTGTACTGTACTCTACTCTACTCTACTCTACTCTACCCTACTCTACTCTACCCTACTCTACTCTACCCTACTCTACTCTACTCTTCCCTACTCTACTCTACCCTACCCTACTCTACTCTACCATACTCTACTCTACCCTACCCTACTCTACTCTACTCTATTGTACTGTACTGTACTGTACTCTACTCTACTCTACCCTACTCTACTGTACTGTACTGTACTCTACTCTACTCTACTCTACCCTACTCTACTCTACCCTACTCTACCCTACTCTACTCTACTCTACCCTACTCTACCCTACTCTCTACTCTACTCTACTCTACCCTACCCTACCCTACTCTACTCTACCCTACCCTACCCTACCCTACTCTACTCTACTCTACTCTACTCTACTCTACTCTACTCTACCCTACCCTACCCTACCCTACTCTACTACAGTACCAGATACTTAAACAGAATCGAATCACAACCAAGTAGATTAGAGTAGGGTAGGGCTGGTGGAAATGGGGCTCATGTAGCCAAGTCAAGTTTATTTGTATGGCAGAGTTCTGTGCGAGATGAAACAAGAGAGAAACCTTCAGAAATGGCATTGAAACCATAAACAGTCGCCGCACATTAAAGAGAGAAGATGCAGCTCATAACCAGCCGAGGTTAATGCTAATGCTAATGCTAATGCGAACAGGAAATACAAGAAACACAGAATAATAATCAACTGTTACAGAAATATAACTGCTGTATATGTGGGACGCGACCACACGACTCGTTCTGTTCTCTGTCCAATGGGTTTGTTGATCAGCTGACCCCCATGACCCACAGGTACCAGCAACGCTTCTGTTTGTTAATCTGGTGTAATGACGTCCATGGTGTGCGTCTGCGGGTCTTCAGCTTAATGAGTCGTGGTGAGACATGAGCGAGAGCTGAAGGCGAAGGGTTAAACTGCTCTGTGTACGAGACGAATGTACTGAGAGAGACCAGAGGGAGACCAGAGAGAGACCAGAGAGAGACCAGAGAGAGACCAGAGAGAGACCAGAGAGAGACAAGAGAGAGACCAGAGAGAGACAAGAGAGAGACAAGAGAGAGACAAGAGAGAGACCAGAGAGAGAGGGAGAGACCAGAGAGAGACCAGAGAGAGACCAGAGAGAGACAAGAGAGAGACCAGAGAGAGACCAGAGGGAGAGACCAGAGGGAGAGACCAGAGGGAGAGACCAGAGGGAGAGACCAGAGAGAGACCAGAGAGAGACCAGAGAGAGACCAGAGAGAGACCAGAGAGAGACCAGAGAGAGACCAGAGAGAGACCAGAGAGAGACCAGAGAGAGACCAGAGAGAGACCAGAGAGAGAGACCAGAGAGCTGGAAAAGATGACCAATTTCTAACACTTCAAATTTCGGTGAAAACAGACTGAAGACGCCGCAGAAACTTCAGATTGAGATTTTTCTTAAATTCTTTATGAAAACAGAATGATGACCTTCAGCTGCATTGAAATGAATAAGAATCTGAAAGAATGTCAAAAAATGCTGTGTTGATGAGAAAATGCACTGTTTTCAGAAATAAATTATTAAAGCATTACTCTTGTTTATGACAAACCTCCAGGTGTGTGTGGACTGTATCTGCCTGTGTGTGTGTGTGTGTGTGTGTGTGTGTGTGTGTGTGTGTCTGTCTGTGTGTGCGAGTTTGTGTGTGTGTGTGTCTGTGTGAGAGTTTGTGTGTGTGTGTCTGTCTGTGTGTGCGAGTTTGTGTGTGTGTGTGCGTTAGAATCTGCAATAATCTGAACTAATGTCAATACAGAGCCACTGGGACACAATCTACAGATGTAAACCTTATATTCATGCACTGGAATATACGGGATTTATACTAGCTTCTTTATTATGCTAAAGCTATATTTTATACTAGCTTCTTTATTATGCTAAAGCTAGAGATTTTATACTAGCTTCTTTATTATGCTAAAGCTAGAGATTTTATACAACCAGTAAATGATCTCTTGGTCTTCATCTTAAATCACTTTGCTGTGACTCTTGCTTACGGTTGTGGCTCAGACTTAAATTGTGTTTAAACTAGTGCGAAACTGCTCTCGTGCATTGAAATAACTATGAGTCAGTGTTGTTTTCTCCGTCACAGAGGAGGTCAGAGAGAGCAGAAGAAGAGAGAAGAAGATCCTTGAAGTAGCAGCTGTAAAACCTCACACTTTTATAACCACCTGAAAGACAAGAGAGAGAAACCAAAGAGAGAGACCAGAGAGAGACCAGAGAGACCAGAGAGAGAGACCAGAGAGAGAGACCAGAGAGAGAGACCAGAGAGAGAGACCAGAGAGAGAGACCAGAGAGAGAGACCAGAGAGAGAGACCAGAGAGAGAGACCAGAGAGAGAGACCAGAGAGAGAGACCAGAGAGAGAGACCAGAGAGAGAGACCAGAGAGAGAGACCAGAGAGAGACCAGAGAGAGACCAGAGAGAGACCAGAGAGAGACCAGAGAGAGAGAATAGAGAGAGAGACCAGAGAGACAAGAGAGAGAGACCAGAGAGAGAGACCAGAGAGAGACCAGAGAGAGAGACCAGAGAGAGAGACCAGAGAGAGACCAGAGATAGAGACCAGAGAGAGACCAGAGAGAGAGACCAGAGAGAGACCAGAGAGAGACCAGAGAGAGACCAGAGAGAGACCAGAGAGAGACCAGAGAGAGACCAGAGAGAGAGACCAGAGAGAGAGACCAGAGAGAGAGACCAGAGAGAGAGACCAGAGAGAGAGACCAGAGAGAGAGACCAGAGAGAGACCAGAGAGAGACCAGAGAGAGAGACCAGAGAGAGACCAGAGAGAGACCAGAGAGAGACCAGAGAGAGACCAGAGAGAGACACCAGAGAGACAAGAGAGAGAGACCAGAGAGAGAGACCAGAGAGAGACCAGAGAGACCAGAGAGAGAGACCAGGGAGAGACCAGAGAAAGAGACCAGGGAGAAACAAGAAAGAAACCAGAGAGAGAGAGAGAGACCAGAGGGAGACCAAAGAGAGACCAGAGAGAGGACGAGGACGAGAGGAGGGGGCGTCCGATCAATACAAATTATACTTTCATTTCGGAGACGCACAAATCCTTCGCAGAGAGAGAGATGGAAAAATGATGAACCAGAATAAAAAACATGCACTTGTGAACAATGTTGTGTTTGTCTGAGGAAACAGGTCTGTGCGCTTTCATTCAGACTCCAAGGACCATAAATATGTAAAGAACCATTTCAGACACAAGGTCTGTGTGTGCGGCAAGAAACACACACACACTTTATATAACAGCAGTATGTGTTCACGGAGGTGACTTTATATAACAGCAGTATGTGTTCACGGTGACTTTATATAACAGCAGTGTGTGTTCACGGAGGTGACTTTATATAACAGCAGTATGTGTTCACGGAGGTGACTTTATATAACAGCAGTATGTGTTCACGGAGGTGACTTTATATAACAGCAGTATGTGTTCACGGAGGTGACTTTATATAACAGTAGTATGTGTTCACGGAGGTGACTTTATATAACAGCAGTATGTGTTCACGGAGGTGACTTTATATAACAGTAGTATGTGTTCACGGTGACTTTATATAACAGCAGTATGTGTTCACGGAGGTGACTTTATATAACAGCAGTATGTGTTCACAGTGACTTTATATAACAGCAGTATGTGTTCATGGAGGTGACCATATATAACAGCTGTATGTGTTCACGGTGACGTTATATAACAGCAGTACGTGTTCATGGAGGTGACTTTATATAACAGCTGTATGTGTTCACGGTGACTTTATATAACAGCAGTATGTGTTCACGGTGACTTTATATAACAGCAGTATGTGTTCATGGAGGTGACTTTATATAACAGCAGTATGTGTTCACGGAGGTGACTTTATATAACAGCAGTATGTGTTCACGGAGGTGACTTTATATAACAGCAGTATGTGTTCATGGTGACTTTATATAACAGCAGTATGTGTTCATGGAGGTGACTTTATATAACAGCAGTATGTGTTCACGGAGGTGACTTTATATAACAGCAGTATGTGTTCACGGAGACTACTTTATATAACAGCTGTATGTGTTCACAGTGACTTTATATAACAGCAGTATGTGTTCACGGAGGTGACTTTATATAACAGCAGTGTTCACGGAGGTGACGGAGACAGTGAGAGCTAGGACAGAGTGTATGAACAGTTTGGCCTGAGAGAGAGAGTGTGGGACCGGAGCATGACAGGGGAACGTGTGCATGGCATGTTGTTTTGGGAGTGACAATAAAGCCCACTCTTGAGCCGCAGTCCGGAGTGTCCTTGAGCCCGCACCACACTTTGACAGCGAGGGTCAAACAAGAAGGGAATTACGCCCCGGAGGAAAGCCTCCCTTCGGCCCTGGAGCAGCAGATCTCCCCCGCGCCCCTCGACCTCAGTCTTGGGGCTTATAACAGGAAAGGCGTAACAACTGTTTACAGTATGTTCAGTCGAACACGCTCCACCATTGACTTTGCATTGAAACCCGACGCAGCATGATCCGGTCTAATGCGGAATAACTTTAACTTTTTATATTCTGTCTGATAATGTACGTTCATGTATCTATCTACTTTTATTTCACTGTTTTACTACATCCTGCTCAGGACTACAGCTGTAAACTAGCTCTGCTGCTACAACCTGCTACAAAGCATCTGTCCTTTGGGCTAATTTTTATTGTTCACTGTTCCTGTACCGATAACAACCGAACCATAAAATACCTTACCATACCAGACCAGACCAGACCAGACCATGCCATATTTCATGTCAGATTCAGGCTGAGTGCAGAGCTCCAGTAGCTTCTGTGATCCCACACTGTGAGGACAGAAAATAACCCTCTGCATCATGACGGTGATGATCCTGGAGCAGACTCTGCTTCCTGCTCCCCACTGACTCATACACACTGTGTTCTACCTCCCTCTGTGGCAGGTCCCCTCCTGACCACAGGGGGAGCTATGGTCTCACTCGGGTCTCTCTCTTTAGTCTCTCTCAGGTCTCTCTCTTTAGTCTCTCTCTGGTCTCTCTCTTTAGTCTCTCACTCTAGTCTCTCTCTGGTCTCTCTCTCTGGTCTCTCTCTTTAGTCTCTCTCTGGTCTCTCTCTGGTCTCTCTCTTTAGTCTCTCTCTGGTCTCTCTCTGGTCTCTCCCTTTGGTTTCTCCAGTCTCTCTCTCTGGTCTCTCTCTTCAAGCCCCTTGCCTTTCACTAATTCATATTTAATGATTTATTTTTGCACAGCCCTAAAAATGTCAGTCTTTCACAGGCTTCTTTACTTGTTCTTCCATCCCGACGCACTCTGCAGTATTTGCTCCTGAGGTGTTACCACTGCTGCTGAGAGTGGGACCGTAGTGAGCCATAATCCTGTGTGACATCACCTGACATTATAGGAGCTCAGGGAAGTCCAGTGAGGAGGAGGAGGAGGAGGAGGAGCAGGAGGAGGAGCAGGAGGAGGAGGAGGAGGAGGAGGAGGAGGAGGAGGAGGAGGAGGAGGAGGAGGAGGAGGACCTGGACCATTTGGTTTTGCTGTAGTTACTGTATGAACTAAAATCATACCTGGTCTCTCTCTGCTCTGCTATCTCTGGTCTCTCTCTGGTCTCTCTCTGGTCTCTCTCTGGTCTCTCTCTGGTCTCTCTCTGGTCTCTCTCTGCTCTGCTATCTCTGGTCTCTCTCTGGTCTCTCTCTGGTCTCTCTCTGGTCTCTCTCTGGTCTCTCTCTGGGCTCTCTCTCTAGTCTTTCTCTCTGGTCTCTCTCTGGTCTCTCTCTGGTCTCTCTCTCTAGTCTTTCTCTCTGGTCTCTCTCTGGTCTCTCTCTGGTCTCTCTCTGGTCTCTCTCTCTAGTCTTTCTCTCTGGTCTCTCTCTGGTCTCTCTCTGGTCTCTCTCTCTGGTCTCTCTCTCTCTCTGGTCTCTCTCTGGTCTCTCTCTGGTCTCTCTCTCTCTCTCTGGTCTCTCTCTGGTCTCTCTCTGGTCTCTCTCTCTGGTCTCTCTCTAGTCTTTCTCTCTGGTCTCTCTCTGGTCTCTCTCTGGTCTCTCTCTCTGGTCTCTCTCTGGTCTCTCTCTAGTCTTTCTCTCTGGTCTCTCTCTGGTCTCTCTCTGGTCTCTCTCTCTGGTAATCTAAATTCAACTACATGTATTTTTGTACACCCCTAAATCACAGACGAAATCCAGATCCTGTCAGACCTCTGCAGCTAAGCAAAACATGGCCTGGTTAGTGCTGTGATGGGAGACCTCTGGGAACAGCAGGTGCCACAGTGGGGCGGCTACGGCTGAAAAGTGCCAAACTGTCATTATGTGTTTATATGCCATTATTATTAAAATGTATTGTATTTCTGAAATGTCACCCCCAGAGCAAGTTAGTTACCATAGCAACACACTGGGGACCGTTAGCATTTTGCCGTTAGAATTAAGCATTTCACTTTCAATCAACTGTTGTTTGATGTATTTCAGTTACATGTGTTCACTATAAAACCTGATAAATGAAGTACTTTTAATACTTTGAGTGAAAAGGTTAACATTTGGGAGATTCCATGAGAGAGAGAGAGCGAGAGAGCTTCCTTTCTGATTGGTCTTGAAGCTGCGCATAATAATAATGAGAGATTATTAATTTAAATATTTAATCATGATATATCACTCGCTCCAGAGATCTGAACGTCGTTTCAAAACGTTCTAAGCTCATTTGTTCTTGATGACAGACTCTCAAAACAATAATGGCCGCTGCCCTTTGGCAACGCACTCTGTGTTTGTGCTTCAGGTGTAAAATACTCTTAGTTCCAGACTTTCACTTTAAGGAGAATCTCGCCAAATGTGGACTTTCTCTGAGCTTCCACATCATTCCGGGCGCTGAGAATAAACCGAGTCGTGTTTGAAACAATTTTCTGCAGAACCTTCGTTCACAGATTTCTCTTTGACAGTTTTTTGGCACTCTTTCAGATTCAGATTCTTTCAGATTCTCATTTATTCCAATCACTCTGCAGCTGAAGGTCATCGTTCTGTTTGTTCATAAAGAATTTAACCAAAAATCTCAATCTGAAGTTTCTGCGGCGTCTTCAGTCTGTTTTCACCAAGTTTTAAGAGACCAGAGAGAGACCAGAGAGAGACCAGAGAGAGACCAGAGAGAGAGAGACCAGAGAGAGAGAGACCAGAGAGAGACCAGAGAGAGACCAGAGAGAGACCAGAGAGAGACCAGAGAGAGACCAGAGAGAGACCAGAGAGAGACCAGAGAGAGACCAGAGAGAGACCAGAGAGAGACCAGAGAGAGACCAGAGAGAGACCAGAGAGAGACCAGAGAGAGACCAGAGAGAGACCAGAGAGAGACCAGAGAGAGACCAGAGAGAGACCAGAATGAGACCAGAATGAGACCAGAATGAGACCAGAATGAGACCAGAATGAGACCAGAATGAGACCAGAATGAGACCAGAATGAGACCAGAATGAGACCAGAATGAGACCAGAATGAGACCAGAATGAGACCAGAATGAGACCAGACTCTAAATCCACCTTCACAGCAGAGAGAGCAACATCAAATGATTTTGTGTCTTTAATTATCCTCCAGCCGCCGTCGCACCGCGGCCTCGGCCCGATACCGTCTTTTGCATGTGCAGCAGTCGCAGGATCGATGGGAGACCAGAGGGTGAAAAATGAGAGTATGCTAGGTACTGCATTAGCGGAGCCGCAGCCGCCCCAGGACAATGGCCACAGTCTCACTCAGACCTCAACTCTGTGTCTGAACGTTTAGGACCAGAAATAAATCAAAGAATTATGAGGTCTGTGCTTTAGCTGTAGATTAATGAACTACTGTATGGATGGAGACAGAGAGAGACCAGAGAGAGACCAGAGGGAGACCATAGAGAGACCAGAGAGAGACCAGAGGGAGACCATAGAGAGACCAGAGGGAGACCAGAGGGAGACCATAGAGAGACCAGAGGGAGACCAGAGGGAGACCATAGAGAGACCAGAGGGAGACCAGAGGGAGACCATAGAGAGACCAGAGAGAGACCAGAGGGAGACCATAGAGAGACCAGAGGGAGACCAGAGGGAGACCATAGAGAGACCAGAGGGAGACCAGAGGGAGACCATAGAGAGACCAGAGGGAGACCAGAGGGAGACCATAGAGAGACCAGAGAGAGACCAGAGGGAGACCATAGAGAGACCAGAGAGAGACCAGAGGGAGACCATAGAGAGACCAGAGGGAGACCAGAGGGAGACCATAGAGAGACCAGAGGGAGACCAGAGGGAGACCATAGAGAGACCAGAGGGAGACCAGAGGGAGACCATAGAGAGACCAGAGAGAGACCAGAGGGAGACCATAGAGAGACCAGAGGGAGACCAGAGGGAGACCATAGAGAGACCAGAGGGAGACCAGAGGGAGACCATAGAGAGACCAGAGGGAGACCAGAGGGAGACCATAGAGAGACCAGAGGGAGACCAGAGGGAGACCATAGAGAGACCAGAGGGAGAGACCAGAGAGAGACCAGAGGGAGACCAGAGAGAGACCAGAGAGAGACCAGAGAGAGACCAGAGGGAGAGACCAGAGAGAGACCAGAGGGAGACCAGAGAGAGACCAGAGGGAGAGACCAGAGAGACCAGAGGGAGACCATAGAGAGACCAGAGGGAGACCAGAGGGAGACCAGAGGGAGACCATAGAGAGACCAGAGTGAGAGACCAGAGAGAGACCAGAGGGAGACCAGAGAGAGACCAGAGAGAGACCAGAGGGAGAGACCAGAGAGAGACCAGAGGGAGACCAGAGAGAGACCAGAGGGAGAGACCAGAGGGAGACCAGAGAGAGACCAGAGAGAGACCAGAGGGAGACCAGAGGGAGACCATAGAGAGACCAGAGGGAGAGACCAGAGAGAGACCAGAGGGAGACCAGAGAGAGACCAGAGGGAGAGACCAGAGAGAGACCAGAGAGAGACCAGAGAGAGACCAGAGGGAGAGACCAGAGAGAGACCAGAGGGAGACCAGAGAGAGACCAGAGGGAGAGACCAGAGAGAGACCAGAGGGAGAGACCAGAGAGAGAGACCAGAGAGAGACCAGAGGGAGACCAGAGGGAGACCAGAGGGAGACCAGAGAGAGACCAGAGAGAGACCAGAGGGAGACCAGAGAGAGACCAGAGAGAGACCAGAGGGAGACCAGAGAGAGACCAGAGAGAGACCAGAGAGAGACCAGAGAGACCTCTCTCTCCTCTCTCTCTCCTCCTCCTCTCTCTCTTCTCTCTCTCCTTCCTCCTCTCTCTCTTCTCTCTCTCCTCTCTCTCTTCTCTCTCTCCTTCCTCCTCTCTCTCTTCTCTCTCTCCTCTCTCTCCTCCTCCTCTCTCTCTCCTCTCCCTCCTGCCCACTGCTCTTACCTCTCTTTTACCTCATTCTCTCTCTCTCCCTCAGACTGTGTTTCCTAAGAATGTCCAGTTGCGTCACATGGGACCAGATTTATCCAAGGTTATTATAGTCCTGTTATGACTCATGCCGGTCCCACATGTTTCAGACTGAGGCTCTATAACAAACACCAAAGCTAACAAACGAGATGCCGCCCTCTGCCACACGGCCTAAGACTGTAGTTTGAGTTTACTTATAGATAAGATACACTTTATTGATCTCACAATGGAGAAATGTACATGTATGAATTATTATGTAAGAATTGTGTTATACAAATAAACCTGCCCAAGATCCACTCCAGGCCTGGGACTGATCCAGGAACAATGGTAATGTGGTTAAAGGGTCAAAAAGGTAGATTTCGAAGAATATTTCTGCGTTAAGAGCTCAAGTTTGGAGTAATCTGGTATTCTGGTCTGTGCTGCTACCAGGGGCCTTTCTAAGAGACCAGAGAGAGAGACCAGAGAGAGAGACCAGAGAGATAGACCAGAGAGAGAGACCAGAGAGAGAGACCAGAGAGAGAGACCAGAGAGAGAGACCAGAGAGAGAGACCAGAGAGAGAGACCAGAGAGAGAGACCAGAGAGAGAGACCAGAGAGAGAGACCAGAGAGAGAGACCAGAGAGAGACCAGAGAGAGAGACCAGAGAGAGAGACCAGAGAGACCAAAGAAACACCAGAGCGAGACCAGAGAATGAGACAAAAGAGAGGGACCAGAGAATGAGACCAGAGAGCGAGACCAGAGAGAGACCAGAAAGAGACCAGAGAGCGAGACCAGAGAATGAGACTAAAGAGAGCGACCAGAGAATTAAAACAGTTTGGAGTAAATATGTCCAAGCAGAAAACAAGCTTATGGTGCCTCTCTTCTCTCTGGTCTCTCTCTGGTCTGTGCTGCTCCGAGGGGCGTCTCTCCTACACCTGGTTCTGGACTAATCCCCGGTCTCTCGGAGCTCTAATCATTCCCCTCCGACAGCGGCCTGGTTCTCCTCCCACACACCCCTGACCCTCTGCGTCTGGCTACTTCCACTTTTACACTGCTTCTTCTTCTGCTGCTGCTGCTGCTTCTGTTGTTGTGCAATTACAGACACACTCGGAGCACGGTGTGTTGTGTTGCTTTTTCTCTAATCCTGGTGCAGACTCACTCTCGGCGGGGTCCTTGTTTATTCTTCTGCACAGGCCCGACCGTGACAAATCGGAAGCACGGGCGCCTGTAGAGAGCCCCGAGCAGGAGGCATGCACTCCACTCTGAGCCAGGGCCGCTGCACAAGGACACAGCAGCATCTAGTGGCCGATGTGGGAACTGTCCGGGAACACAGTGATTACTTAAAGAAGAATTATACTTATCATTACACATGGTTCTTGGCCATTGTGATGATTATGATGAGGCCAATCTCGTTGTACTTTCATGTTTTCATTTCTACTCACTTTACTTATTTGTGCAATAACAATTTAGATAATGTCAGAATGTCATACTGAGAGACCAGAGAGAGACCAGAGTGAGAGACCAGAGTGAGAGACCAGAGAGAGACCAGAGGGAGAGAGAGACCAGAGAGAGACCAGAGAGAGACCAGAGGGAGAGAGAGACCAGAGAGAGACCAGAGAGAGACCAGAGAGAGACCAGAGAGAGACCAGAGAGAGACCAGAAAGAGACCAGAAAGAGACCAGAGAGAGACCAGAGAGAGACCAGAGGGAGAGAGAGACCAGAGAGAGACCAGAGAGAGACCAGAAAGAGACCAGAAAGAGACCAGAGAGAGACCAGAAAGAGACCAGAGAGAGACCAGAGAGAGACCAGAGGGAGAGAGAGACCAGAGAGAGACCAGAGAGAGACCAGAGAGAGACCAGAGAGAGACCAGAGAGAGACCAGAGAGAGACCAGAAAGAGACCAGAGAGAGACCAGAGAAAGAGCAGAGGGAGAGAGAGACCAGAGAGAGACCAGAAAGAGACCAGAGAGAGACCAGAGAGAGACCAGAGAGAGACCAGAAAGAGACCAGAAAGAGACCAGAGAGAGACCAGAGAGAGACCAGAGAGAGACCAGAGAGAGACCAGAGAGAGACCAGAGAGAGACCAGAGAGAGACCAGAAAGAGACCAGAAAGAGACCAGAGAGAGACCAGAGAGAGACCAGAGAGAGAGACCAGAGAGAAACCAGAGAGAGACCAGAGAGAGAGACCAGAGAGAAACCAGAGAGAGACCATGCAATGCAATATGGGGCTGTGTTACAATTTGCTGCTAAAAAGCTGTAAAAACTGCTCATCTAAACGTCTATCGCAGCCTTCACTGTTAAAGTCGGGAAGAGAGATAAAAAAGACACAAGATATTGACAGAAAACAGCAGAAAGTAGAAAAGGACTTTACAAAGCAGAGATCAATGTCCATAAATGTCCATGGTCCTAAAGTTAGACCAGGCAGGTCCAAACTCAGGCCCTTGGTATCATGTTATCTGGTCTTCATAGACACCGGTTCACAATGTCATACAGCCAACTTCAGCTGTACCAATATATGTGTGTTATATCTGGTTGTGAAGCTTGTTTTTTTTATATAATCACATTTGTTTTTGATTTTGGCATAACATTGAGTCGCTAATGTAGCTGGTGAGATGGTAAAGATTTGTCATTCAGCCAAAGTCAACATTATTAAGGCTGATTTTAAAGTTCAAGTTTAAAGTTGCCCTATTACTAAAATGTTTGGACACATGTTAGACTCTTCTGCATCGGCAAAGAATAAACTCTAACTCCAACAGCAGACGTCAGTGGGAGTAGCAGCGACACAAGTCAGAATCATCAAAGTCTTAGTCTAAAAAGCTTCTCATGTCTCCAGCTTTGGCCTCAAACCCTCACAAAGTCAGCACCAATCGACAAACACTTTCTAAATGCATTAAATGGTTTCTGCACCTTCAGGTTTTCACTCTGAGCTACAGGAGAAAGCGCTTTAAAGTGCCAAGGACACGTCCCTTACAGATCTATAACGCCGCAGTATCTCTGAGGTGCACGCCGCAGTATCTCTGAGGTGCACGCTGCAGTATCTCTGAGGTGCACGCCGCAGTATCTCTGAGGTGCACGCCGCTCTGTTGCCGCGGCTACAACAGCCTGGTTTAATATTACTTTGTTTAATCCATAGGGGCGACAGTAGCTCAGTTGGTAGAGCATTGGCCTTCAGGCCTGAAGGTCGTGGGTTCAATTCCCACCTCTACACCTTCTCCACCGACTCCCGCTGATGACTGCTGTCGTTGTGTCCTTGGGCAAGACACTTAACCCCACTTTGCCCAAAGCCCCCACTGAAAGATCAAGGCTATGCTCACACTCAGAGAGCAGCCGTCCTCCTGTGGACTCACCACCTGCAGAGGGTCAGTGAGGGGCTGGTGCTATGAGACTTGGGTGGCATCTCTGACTGCCACCCCCCTGACCCAGAAATGGATTAAAGGGTAGAAAATGGATGGATGGATGGATGTTTAATCCATAAGTTTCACTGTGAGGCTGAGTCAGGCTAAAGTTCTGGTCACGCAGATACTGTGTTGTTGTACACTACACTACAATACTACATTTGTGTATTTATATATCCATCCATCCATCTTCTTCCCCTTAATCCATTTCTGGGTCGGGGGGGTGGCAGTCAGAGCTACACCCAGTCACAGAGCACCAGCCCCTCACTGATCCTCCTGCAGGTGGTGAGTCCACAGGAGCTGAGATCTTTCAGTGGGAGCTTCAGGCAAAGTGGGGTTAAGTGTCTTGCCTAAGGACGCAACGACAGCAGTCATCAGTGGGAGTCGTGAAGTAGGTCTTACGGTGGGCTCGAACCCACGACCTTCAGGCCCAAAGGCCAATGCTCCACCAACTGAGCTACTGTCGCCCCTGTATTTATATATACCTTAGTAAAACATGAAAGGATCCTGGATGAAAATGTAGGACTCCGAGGTGTGTGTCTTTGTGTGTATTTCTTTGTGTGTATGCATATTATGTGTGTGTGTCTCTTCGTGTTGTGTGTTTGTGTGTGTACGTATTTGTGTGTGTATAAGTATGTCCCATATGTAAACTAAAACAGCTCGACCTGACAGAGAACCTGACAGAGAACCTGACAGAGAACCTGACAGAGAACCTGACAGAGAACCTGACAGAGAACCTGAATGAGAACCTGAATGAGAACCTGAATGAGAACCTGACAGAGAACCTGACAGAGAACCTGACAGAAAACCTGATAGAAAACCTGACAGAAAACCTGAGAGAAAACCTACAGAGAACCTGAATGAGAACCTGACAGAGAACCTGACAGAGAACCTGACAGAGAACCTGACAGAGAACCTGAATGAGAACCTGAATGAGAACCTGACAGAGAACTTGACAGAGAACCTACAGAGAACCTGACAGAGAACTTGACAGAGAACCTACACAGAGAACCTGACAGAGAACCTGAATGAGAACCTGAATGAGAACCTGAATGAGAACCTAACAGAGAACCTGACAGAGAACCTGACAGAGAACCTGACAGAAAACCTGATAGAAAACCTGACAGAAAACCTGACAGAAAACCTGAGAGAGAACCTGACAGAGAACCTGACAGAGAACCTGAATGAGAACCTGACAGAAAACCTGACAGAGAACCTGACAGAGAACCTGACAGAAAACCTACAGAAAACCTACAGAGAACCTGAATGAGAACCTGACAGAGAACCTGAATGAGAACCTGAATGAGAACCTGAATGAGAACCTGAATGAGAACCTGACAGAGAACCTGACAGAGAACCTGACAGAAAACCTGACAGAGAACCTGACAGAGAACCTGAATGAGAACCTGAATGAGAACCTGAATGAGAACCTGACAGAGAACCTGAGAGAGAACCTACAGAGAACCTGACAGAAAACCTACAGAGAACCTGACAGAGAACCTGACAGAGAACCTGACAGAGAACCTGACAGAGAACCTGACAGAAAACCTTACAGAGAACCTGACAGAGAACCTGAATGAGAACCTGAATGAGAACCTGAATGAGAACCTGACAGAGAACCTGACAGAGAACCTGACAGAAAACCTGACAGAGAACCTGAGAGAGAACCTACAGAGAACCTGACAGAGAACCTGATAGAGAACCTGACAGAGAACCTGAATGAGAACCTGAATGAGAACCTGAATGAGAACCTGACAGAGAACCTGACAGAGAACCTGACAGAGAACCTGAGAGAGAACCTGAGAGAGAACCTACAGAGAACCTGACAGAGAACCTACAGAGAACCTGACAGAGAACCTGACAGAGAACCTGACAGAGAACCTGACAGAGAACCTGAATGAGAACCTGACAGAGAACCTGACAGAGAACCTGCAGCTTTCATAAAGGTCAGATTTTGTGGGATATTAGAGTCCCTTGTCGTCCTGAACTCTGCTGGATTGCCTCCCGCTCTAGCTCCGCTCTAGCTCCGCTCTAGCTCCGCTCTAGCCCCGCTCTAGCTCCGCTCTAGCTCCGCTCTGGTCACTCGCGCTCGTTAGCATTTGTCACAAAGCATCATGGTGCCAATGGTGGTCCGTGTTTGGTCCGAGGCTTGGTCAGACCAGGATGATCTCAATGGGGCTGTCTTTAAATAAATGATACATACATAAATAAATAGTAGCAGTTTATTTCTTCGGTCATTATCAACATTAGATCTTAGGTCACACATTTTTAAAGATCTATTACAATTTACAATAAGAGAAGAAAATAAGATAGACTTTATTGATCTCACACTGGAGAAATGTACAAATCATTTCTACATTAATAATTAGTAATCAATAACAGTTTGTCTCCCTCTGGTCAATCCTGCCACCTCACAGTAAGGCTGCAGCTGATTGGTCGATGGGAGAGCGAGGGATATGTGTTTTTCCCCTGAGCGTCTCGTCGCATGTGGTGCTTTGCAGGAAAATCTCTCTCCTGAAGTGGATTAGAGAAAATGGGTTTAGCAGAGCTGGTCACTGTGCTCCCACAATGCACTGGGGCGACTCGTCTCTCTCACAACAAGCCAACTCCATTGGTTTTCCTCAGACTCTTGAACCACGCTTCAGAAAGGCAACACCCTGAAGGGAAAGTTGTTTTTGTGATGTTAGAACTACTCTCCAATCCGTTGCCGGGTCGTGGGGGCAGCAGTCTGAGCAGAGACACAGACTTCTCTCTCCACACACACTTTCTCCAGCTCATCTGGGGGAATGCTCAGGCATTCCCAGGCCAGCAGAGGGACAGAGAGAGAGAGACCAGAAAGAGAGACCAGAGAGAGACACAAGAGAAAGCAAGAGACCAAAGAGAAAGAGCAGAGAGAGAGAGACCAGAGAGACAGTTCAGGGAGAGAGAGAGAAAGAGCAGAGAGACAGTTCAGGGAGAGAGAGAGAGAGAGAGACCAGAGAAAGCGAGAGAGAGAGAGAGAGAGATAGAGACCAGAGAGAGAGACCAGAGAAAGCGAGAGAGAGAAACCCTCTGTGTCCTGGGTCTTCCCCTGGTCTCCTCCCGGTGGGACATGCCCAGAAGACCTCCCCAGAGAAGCGTCCAGGAGACATCCTAAAGAATGAAGAGGGTTGAGGGAGGGTAAATTGAGAGCTTTGACTGCAGATGCTGCTCCCTCTCCACCACAACAGACTGATACAGCTCTGACTGCAGACAGAGATACAGTAGTTAGACAGACAGACACACAGACACACAGACAGACACACAGACACATAGACAGACAGACAGACAGACAGACACACAGACAGACACACAGACACACAGACACACAGACACACAGACAGACACACAGACACATAGACAGACAGACAGACAGACAGACACACAGACACACAGACAGACACACAGACACATAGACAGACAGACAGACAGACAGACAGACAGACAGACAGACACACAGACACACAGACAGACACACAGACACATAGACAGACAGACAGACAGACAGACACACAGACAGACACACAGACACACAGACAGACACACAGACACACAGACAGACACACAGACACATAGACAGACAGACAGACAGACAGACAGACACACAGACACATAGACAGACAGACAGACACACAGACACACAGACACACAGACAGACAGACAGACACACAGACACACAGACACACAGACAGACACACAGACACACAGACAGACACACAGACACATAGACAGACAGACAGACAGACACACAGACAGACACACAGACACACAGACAGACACACAGACACACAGACACACAGACAGACTGTTCCTAACTTACTGAGTAACAAACAAAAGGGAGGACAGTTCTGTTTCTCTGCTCCAGCTGAATCAGTGACTTTTCTCTGGTCACTGTGATTCTTCATGTGTGTGTCTTGTTTTGTGAACCTTCCTCAGCTCCATGAACCACACAAACCTGTCCCTGTTTGTTACAGAGACAACAACTACATAAAGGACTTCCCTCAGCTCGCAGACGGTCTCATGGTGATCCCTCTGCCTGTGGAGGAGCAGTGTCGAGGGGTACTCACTGAACCTCTGCCCAACCTGCAGCTGCTCTCAGGTACACACAACCTGCAGCTGCTCTCAGGTACACACAACCTGCTACACAACCTGCAGCTGCTCTCAGGTACACACAACCTGCAGCTGCTCTCAGGTACACACAACCTGCAGCTGCTCTCAGGTACACACAACCTGCAGCTGCTCTCAGGTACACACAACCTGCAGCTGCTCTCAGGTACACACAACCTGCTATACAACCTCCTCTGCTACACGCTCTACCACCTCCTCTACAACACCTTCACACATTCATAATGCATGGATTGAATAGATAGACCGATAGACAATAGTAGATAGATACATCTGTACTGTAGGTGGACGTGCGTAGGTGGACGTGCGTAGGTGTGGACGTGCGTAGGTGTGGACGTGCGTAGGTGTGGACGTGCGTAGGTGTGGACGTGCGTAGGTATGGACGGTGCGCAGGTGGACGTGCGTAGGTGTGGACGTGCGTAGGTGGACGTGCGTAGGTGGACGTGCGTAGGTGGACGTGCGTAGGTGTGGACGTGCGTAGGTGTGGACGTGCGTAGGTGGACGTGCGTAGGTGGACGTGCGTAGGTGTGGACGTGCGTAGGTGTGGACGTGCGTAGGTGTGGACGTGCGCAGGTGGACGTGCGTAGGTGTGGACGTGCGTAGGTGTGGACGTGCGTAGGTGTGGACGTGCGCAGGTGGACGTGCGTAGGTGTGGACGTGCGTAGGTGTGGACGTGCGTAGGTGTGGACGTGCGTAGGTGGACGTGCGTAGATGTGGACGTGCATAGGTGTGGAAGTGCATAGGTGTGGAAGTGCATAGGTGTGGACAAAGGGGGTGAATATTTCAAATATAAGCGTGGTCGATGTTGCTCTTTCGGATCATTTCTGTGTATTTTTTGACATGTGTTTCACTAACAAACCACCATTGGACTCTGCAACTGTTCGAAGAAGACACATAAATGAAAATACTAGTGAACTATTTATGGAAATGATAAACTTTGAGAATGCATCGTATTCTACTGTAGATGAACTGTTTAACTCTGTCACCTCTAGTGTTTTGAATGTTCTGGATACCGTTGCCCCTGTGAAGGTTAAAATAGTGAAAAATAAGCAGAAGGCGCCGTGGGCTAAAGCAGACTCGGTCAGGGCACAAAAGAGAAAGTGCCGGAGGGCCGAGCGGAAGTGGCGCAAGTCCAACCTCCAGGTAGATTACAAGATCTTCAAAGATAAGTTGTGCGAGTTTAACCGGGTGCTACGTAGTACGAGAGAAAGGTATTTTTCTGAAATGATTGAAGGCTGCAGCAACAATCTGCGTGTTCTGTTTTCAACAGTTAATAGATTAACAAACCCCCCTGTTCAGATGCCATTAGAGCTAACTTCCAAACGTAAATGTAATGAGTTTGCACACTTTTTCAATGACAAGGTTCAAGGCATCAAAAACGCCATTGTCTCCAATCCACAGATAACCATCCAACAGCCAGAAAGGCTCTCTGAGCTAACTTACTTTGCACCTGTAGATGATAAAAATGTCCAAGAAATAATCTCCAGTTTGAGCTCCTCCACATGCAGCCTGGATGTACTACCCACTAGATTTCTGAAGTCTGTTCTGAGCAGTCTGTTACCTTCACTCACTCAGATAGTAAACATGTCCCTTCATTCTGGAATATTCCCAAAGGCCCTGAAAACTGCAGTCATCAGGCCCCTGCTAAAAAAGAGCAGCCTCGATGCTACGGTACTTAACAACTATCGTCCCATCTCAAATTTGCCATTTATGGGGAAAGTCCTTGAAAAAGTTGTCTACCTACAGCTTACTAGATTTCTTATAATCAACAACTCATTTGATATGTTTCAGTCCGGCTTTAGACCCCACCACAGCACTGAGACTGCTCTCGTTTAAGGTTACAAACGATATCCGGCTGAACACTGACGCAGGCAAAGTCTCAATCTTAATCTTGTTAGATCTAAGTGCTGCCTTTGACACCGTCGACCATGAGATCCTCTTACAGAGACTAGAGGACTGGGTTGGAGTCGCTGGCACCGCCCTAAGTTGGTTTAGGTCTTACCTTGAAGACAGGAAGTACTTTGTGGAGATTGGAAACTGTGTCTCAGATCATATGGCCCTGACCTGTGGAGTACCACAGGGGGTCGATCCTGGGACCTCTTCTGTTCAATCTTTACATGCTGCCGTTAGGTCAGTTAATACGCAGAAACAAAGTGTCCTATCATAACTATGCAGACGACACTCAGATCTATGTCTCACTGACTGCAGGAGAACATGGACCAGTGGACTCACTCCTTCACTGTATCCAACAGATCAGTGAGTGGATGCAAAACAACTTCCTTCAGCTAAACGCAGACAAAACTGAAATGATTGTCTTTGGTCCCCAGAAACAAAGAGAGAGCGTCATCTGTCACCTACAGTCTCTCTCCCTAAAACCTTCAAACAAGGTCAGAAATCTAGGGGTAATACTGGACTCAGACTTAAATTTTAATAGCCACATCAAATCAGTAACATCAGCAGCTTTTTACCATCTAAAAAACATTGCCAGGATCAAAAACATAGTGTCTAAAGCAGACTTGGAGATTCTGATCCATGCATTTGTCTCCAGTAGGTTAGATTACTGCAATGGCCTGCTCACAGGTCTATCCAAACAGGCTGTAAAACAGCTGCAGTACATTCAAAATGCAGCAGCTCGAGTCCTGACTAGAACCAGGAAGTACGACTCAGAGAATAGACTTTAAAACAGCTCTGCTTGTGTACAAGTCTCTCCATGGCCTCGCACCAAACTATATTAGTGACATGTTAGTCCCATATGAACCAGCCCGGACTCTGAGGAGCACAGGGACTGGACTCCTGCTGGGACTCTGAGGAGCACAGGGACTGGACTCCTGCTGGGACTCTGAGGAGCACAGGGACTGGCCTCCTGCTGGGACTCTGAGGAGCACAGGGACTGGCCTCCTGCTGGGACTCTGAGGAGCACAGGGACTGGCCTCCTGCTGGGACTCTGAGGAGCACAGGGACTGGACTCCTGCTGGGACTCTGAGGAGCACAGGGACTGGACTCCTGTTAGTGCCCAGAGTCAGAACTAAACATGGGGAGGCTGCTTTTCAGATTCATGCTGCTAAAATCTGGAACAGTCTTCCTGAAGATGTGAGACAGGCCTCCTCTCTGACAATGTTTAAAACCAGGTTAAAGACGGTTCTGTTTAGCTGTGCATACAACTGAGGGATTTTATATTTTTATCTTTTTTTTTTATGTACTGTGATTATTTATGATTTTAATGCTTTCTTGTTCTGTTCAGCACTTTGAGTTGCCTTGTGTATGAATTGTGCTATACAAATAAACTTGCCTTGCCTTGCCTTGCCTTGCCTTGACGTGCGTAGGTGGACGTGCGTAGGTGGACGTGCGTAGGTGGACGTGCGCAGGTAGACGTGCGTAGGTGGACGTGCGTAGGTGGACGTGCGCAGGTGGACGTGCGCAGGTAGACGTGCGTAGGTGGACGTGCGTAGGTGGACGTGCGTAGGTGGACGTGCGTAGGTGGACGTGCGTAGGTGGACGTGCGTAGGTGGACGTGCGTAGGTGGACGTGCGTAGGTGGACGTGCGTAGGTGGACGTGCGTAGGTGGACGTGCGTGGTGACGTGCGCAGGTAGACGTGCGTAGGTGGACGTGCGTAGGTGGACGTGTGTAGGTGGACGTGCGCAGGTGGACGTGCGTAGGTGGACGTGCGCAGGTAGACGTGCGTAGGTGGACGTGCGCAGGTGGACGTGCGTAGGTGGACGTGCGTAGGTGGACGTGCGTAGGTGGACGTGCGTAGGTGGACGTGCGCAGGTAGACGTGCGTAGGTGGACGTGCGCAGGTAGACGTGCGTAGGTGGACGTGCGCAGGTAGACGTGCGTAGGTGGACGTGCGCAGGTGGACGTGCGTAGGTGGACGTGCGCAGGTAGACGTGCGTAGGTGGACGTGCGCAGGTGGACGTGCGTAGGTGGACGTGCGTAGGTGGACGTGCGCAGGTAGACGTGCGTAGGTGGACGTGCGCAGGTAGACGTGCGTAGGTGGACGTGCGTAGGTGGACGTGCGTAGGTGGACGTGCGCAGGTAGACGTGCGTAGGTGGACGTGCGCAGGTAGACGTGCGTAGGTGGACGTGCGCAGGTAGACGTGCAGTAGGTAGACGTGCGTAGTGCGTGGGTGGACGTGCGTAGGTGGACGTGCGCAGGTGGACGTGCGTAGGTGGACGTGCGCAGGTGGACGTGCGTAGGTGGACGTGCGCAGGTGGACGTGCGTAGGTGGACGTGCGTAGGTGGACGTGCGTAGGTGGACGTGCGTAGGTGGACGTGCGTAGGTGGACGTGCGTAGGTGGACGTGCGTAGGTGGACGTGCGTAGGTGGACGTGCGTAGGTGGACGTGCGTAGGTGGACGTGCGCAGGTGGACGTGCGCAGGTGGACGTGCGTAGGTGGACGTGCGCAGGTGGACGTGCGCAGGTGGACGTGCGCAGGTGGACGTGCGCAGGTAGACGTGCGCAGGTGGACGTGCGCAGGTAGACGTGCGCAGGTGGACGTGCGTAGGTGGACGTGCGCAGGTGGACGTGCGCAGCTGGACGTGCGCAGGTGGACGTGCGCAGGTGGACGTGCGTAGGTGGACGTGCGTAGGTGGACGTGCGCAGGTGGACGTGCGTAGGTGGACGTGCGCAGGTGGACGTGCGTAGGTGGACGTGCGTAGGTGGACGTGCGTAGATGGAGGCGGTGGGCGCTTCTGTATCAGCGACACGTTAGCATCACATGTTTACAGTCACAGTGGAACGTCCTCAGTCATGGTTTAGTCCCGGTCTAGCTCCTGTTTTGGTCGTTTTTGAAGGTCTGTTGTTGACCGGCATATATCCCCTTGACCACTTTGCTGCTCTCTGATTGGTTGCTGCTCGTGTGTGGAGCGAGGATGTTCATCTCCTGCTTTCAATGCATCTCGCCGCTGAACCCACCGCTGCTGCGCCGCAACGTCCATGCAATTCCTCGCATGGACGGACTTCTTCGATCTACTCAATTCAATTCATACTTGTATCGCCCTAAATCACAACAGTATAGTTACCTTGGAGGACTTTACAAAACAACACAGAATCAAACAGTTCAAACTCATAAAATAAAATAAAAACAAATGAGTATTGTAGTTAATAATCATTGGTCCCACAGCAGAGATCTCGGTCCCAGGAACAGTCTGTGTGTTGTGGAGAGAGACATCTGAGTCCTCCACCTCCGCTCCCTGATCCTTCCATTAGCTAAACGCTTTCACACTGACCTGATTCTTCATAAATTGGATCAGTGAGATATTGTGTTTTTAGGAAGAAGCCTTTTTTTTTCAGGCTTTGAACCGACAACCTTCAGCTTCAGTCTGTCGAGGTTATGGGCTTTAATGGATTGACCGAGGAGCGCCGCCTTTTCCACTGCCAACAACCAAGTGTTAGCGTTAGCACAGTGGAGCCACAGAGATACAGTAACTCATAAAGCCCCAGTGATGAAGCCCAATAGGGAAGTGCTCAGGGTTGAAGTTTTGCTCCTACTAGCTCTCCTGTTGACTTCACTTGACATGTGAAAGTACAAACTCCTCTCGCTCAGTGTTTGTGTCACACTCACTATAATGGGCTGTGGTTTAGTACCAGAGAGAGAGAGACCAGAGAGAGAGACCAGAGAGAGAGAGACCAGAGAGAGAGAGCAGAGAGAGAGAGAGAGCAGAGAGAGACCAGAGAGAGACCAGAGAACGAGAGACTAGAGAGAGAGAGCAGAGACGAGAGAGACCAGAGAGAGACCAGAGAGAGCAGAGACCAGAGAGAGAGAGACCAGAGAGAGAGAGCAGAGACGAGAGAGACCAGAGCAGAGAGACCAGAGAGAGAGCAGAGACCAGAGAGAAAGCAGAGAGAGAGACCAGAGAGAGACAAGAGAGAGTGTGTGAGACAAGAGAGAGAGACCAGAGAGAGACCAGAGCAAGACCAGAAAGAGAGACCAGAGAGAGAGCAGGGAGAGGGAGAATCTTTTACATTTAAAGATTGCATTACAAGTCTGACTTCTTTTGCCATAACCTTTGAACTCTGTGGTGTTTGCAGGAGAGGCTCAGTTCAGTGAGGCGGCAGGATATCCCATGGTGCAACACTGGAGAGTCCGCAGCAATCTGTACAAGGTCAAACTCAGCTCCATCACCTTATCTTCAGGTAAAACTAGACCGAGCCGAGCCAGACCAGACCTCTGTGTTCATGTGTCTTTGTGTAGTTCACTTCAATGAGTTTGTTTTCTTATGAATTTCTTTTACTTTTGACCTGGAGTAGACTTGCCTTCAACTCCCAGAGAGGAACAGGGCGCTGGTAACCATAGCAACATAGTGTTAGCTTGCTACCATTAGCCGTTAGCATTAGCCTCTCAACCAACTGTTTTTTTTTCCTGTTTTTCAAGTTTTTTTCACCATTTCTGGCACTTATTAAAAGTGAGTTAAGGTGTTATTATTTTATTAAATTATCTGTCAACTCATTTCCCAGCAGAGAATCTAAAGGGGCTGGTTACCATAGCAACACACTCTTTGCTGTCAGACGTTAGCATTAGCATTAGCCTTCAGTTGCAGTTATAATGACCAGTTTTGGCACTAATTAAAAGTCAGTAAAGGTAAAAAAAACCTTAAATTACTTTCTCACAAACACAACAGTAGTTATTTCAGCGGACATGTTACAAAGTTGTCGATTTCTCCAACAAAGATCAGAAAATATACAGTACATCCATGACATTTTATTAATCATTTCATTGACTTTATGTGATGTCATACTGGATGTATAGGAACAGTATTCTTTTTTTTCTCTTTCTCTTGTTCTTTGTGTGTCTTAATCGCCCTAAATCACAGCAGTAGTTATCTCAGGGCACTTTACACAGCTGTCGATTCGCCAACAACAGATCAGAGAAACAAAACAAACAAAGGAAAAGCAACAATAACAAACACAAAGAGCCGTTGGTCCATAAATATCTCTGAAAGTCTAAAGTCCTGGATCCTCACCACTGTCCCCACACCCTCCATGTTTAAGCCACCTTTTCACTAATTGCCAACTTTTTCCGGCAGGTTTTTCTAAGATCCTGAAGACGCTCTCTGCAGACAGCTCTCGAGACGAGCTCCTGGCTTTCCTCCAACAGTTTGGGACCCACTACGTGTCCGAGGCTCTGTACGGCTCCGAGCTCAGGTGCAGCATCCACTTCCCCAGCAAGAAGTCCCAGCAGCAGCTCTGGCTCCAGTACCAGAAAGGTCAGAACCGTCTGCTGTGTGTGTGTCTCATGCAGTACCTCCATTCTACCACAGGGGGGAGCAGCAGCAGCATCTCTGGGTTTTCTCTGGTCTCGCTCTGGTCTCGTTGGTGTTTCTCTGGTCTTTCTTTGGTCTTTCTCTGGCTTTCTTTGGTCTCTCTTATATTTCGCTCTGGTCTCTTTTTGCTCCCTTTCTTGGGTCTCTCTCTGGTCTCTTTCCCTGGTCTCTCTCTGGTCTCTTTGATTTTGCTCTAGTCTCTCTCTGGTCTATCTTTGGTATTTCTTTGGTCTCTTTCTGGCTCCAGTACCAGAAAGGTGAGAGCCGTCTCCCACTGTCTGTGTTGCATGCAGTACTCCCAGTCTACCACCAGGGAGCAGCAGCAACAGCATAAGGAGAATAACAGCACTGTTGTAGTAGTTATGTCTGTATTTGTGTACAGAGGACCCCCATACATTAGTGTTTGTGCTTCTGAACGGCAAAAATAGAATAGAAAAACACTATGTATACAATAATGCTACAAATAAGATCAAAAGTAGTGAGAAAACTAAAAATATGATCTGAGTGTATTAGACAGAGACATTAGTTTATGTCTGTAAACTTGGTGCATTAAGTATTTGGTTCAATCCCAGTAAATTCTAAGATAATGTTATTGATAACTTAGACACAGAATGATGTGAGATTCAGTTTCTCTCAGACTAAGATGAAAATGAAGAGATCCTGCATTTGTCCCAGTGGGGAAATGTCAGTGTTGCAGTACAGTATAACATCTTTAGCTTGATGCAGTGTTATTATTTAATGGAAGTGAGAAAGGCCAGAGAAACTAAACAAGAAAATCTATAAACAGGTTTGAAATAAGTTTATTTATTGCACTCAGATCTCGGACATAGACACAGGTTAAAGTGAAAGTTAAAGCACAGGTTTCAGACACGCCTGAAACAGGAGACAGTGTTGGACACAAGGACACTTCAGTAAAAAGCATTAGATGCATAAACTCTTCATAAAAACATTTCACATCATCACAAACAAAAGGCTTTGGGGAGAACGGGACAGAGACCTGGTATTGCCTCAGTTTAGTTTGGTTTCATTAACAGAATATAAAAGGTCTTTTCATTAAACAGGAAAGACTAAGGTTTGATTCTTTAAAACTGGGGTCTCCAACACTTCCTCTGGAGAAAAGCAGCCGTGGAACCTCCTTTTGTAGTTTGTATCTTGGTTTGAACACATTTTGAAGTTCTTAACCCTTATTATAAGCCTTACATCCTGAATTGTGAGGATTTTTCGACCCTTTTAATCACTGTCGGGTCACTTTACTCGAGGGGAGCACAAGAGTCCGAATAAAAAGTTTTTCAAATAGGGCAGCTTAAGTCTGGTGTGAAACGTGTTAAAGCGACTGTATTATTTATTGTTGCATTAACAAATCTCGTTTCAAGTCTGTCAAAAGGTTCTAGAATTCATTCAGACAAATTTGGGTAATTTATCACTTTTTTGGGCACTTTTTACAACGCAATTTTCTACCCATAAAACAGTCTATAATAAAGTTTTAGCGCTCTAAGCTAACGTGGGGGATTTGCAAAAGTTGTAGATTTAATAGCCGGTTTAATATTAGAGCTAGCTAAAACATGATTAGCTTCGGCGTGCTAACCTATAAAAGTGTGTTAGACAGTAGTTTAGGAAGTGCATCTTGTAAACTTTACTTCTTCAATACCAGACAATTGTAAGATAGTGATTTTAATTATTGTATTGTACATGTTTTGACGGCGGCGAGCTTAAAAACTCAGACATGGACAAGTTTAAATCATGCAGACGACTGTTTTAACGTCAACTAAAACCTGAGCGATTATGTGCAGAAGTTACGTTGGTCTCGGCTCCGTTGGTTTTCAAATCTCCCCAAGACAAACTACGAACGAACGTAAGACAATCCTATAATCAGCTTCTACAAGTGCTGCCAAAAACTAACTTCTGTCAGACAAGGCTTCGAGTCTGATCCCAATAGTTGACATGTTTTCTCACAAAGCGGCGTATACAGAAGCAGTTGTGGATATAATTTATTGTTTTAAGTAATTGACATTTTCAGTGAATCTTGGGAATGGGACAAAGAAGCGGACCCGGGATGGGAAGGTGCGTGTTGTCGGGGAATAAAGTGCGTCAAGTTTTGAAATGTGCTGCGATCCGTCCTGTGTTTTCAATCTCAGATACATGGAGTTCCTTCGTCAGGCTCCGATCAGGAATAATCCGGAATCACATGATTTGATTCGTTTTGCCCTGAATCGCTTTTTGTACCGTGGCGTGGGAAGTACCTAGTTATTGCTTCTCACACACACACACACACACACACACAAAGACTAAAGCTTTAATGAGGATTATGGTTGCAAAAAGATGGAAACTTTCCCTGGGAATAAATAGGAATACTCTGGGAATTTTCCATATTAGAGGTTGGGAACAAAGTTTTATAGAGGTATATTTCAGCATCATCTTGAATTAAACAGATGCTATTCAAATTCCCCTCAAATGTCCATGTAATTCCATACTGTGGCTACTGAGACAGCGCCCCCCACTGGCCACGTGTCTCCATCACATGTACAGGAGATTTCTGGACGACACTTGGACAATTGAAGGCACACTTTTAAACCGGCGTAGTTCACAAAGTTTATATTATGGGGAAATATATTGATTCAATGTCTAAATCGTAAATATGTATTGTATGTACTCAAGCTAATAAGTTAGACACTAAATAAGCTAGCATGTTTATTGTGAGATGTTTTAGAGGGACTTTTCATTATAGTCAAAAGAGAATATTTCCCCAGCTTAACTTCCCATAAAAATCTACCAGAAACTATCCGGACATTTATCGTAAATGTTCCGCCCCTTTGCAACCCTAACGAGGATATGAACCAATATCGGTCAAACGCACAGTGACAGTCTCTATAACGTAGAGGAGTGGCGTCTCTGGACGTAGGTGTAGACTTTGACGCAGTGGTCCCAACAGTCCAGAACCAGCAGCTGTCCCTTGTGTGTGGTGGCGACTCCCACGGGACACGTCAGTCCTTCCTGGATCAGGATTTTGAAGCCGCCTTCTTTGGGAAACTGAAGGATTTGTTTTCTGCCGCTGTCCGTGACCAACAAGTCCCCGTTGTTATCCACGCACATCCCAGTGATGCAGCGAAAGTCCTCGGCCTCGGAGAAGAAGTGGCTGAACTGTTTCCCGAGCTGACCGTCCGCGCCCACAGACCCAATGGAGAAGCCGCCTTCCAGATGAGGCTCGCTGTGGCACTTCTCAAAGTTCAGAGCCAGACCCTGAGTGAAGTAAACGGTCCCTCTGGCGTCACACGTCACAAACTTTGGACGCACGGCTGAGCACAGGCGCGTGTAGCTGACCACGCCCATGTTCCGGTCCACTTCCAAACACCACAGCTTGCCTCCTTCCACGTCAGACACCACAAACTGTCCGGACGGCATGGCGGCGATCCCCCAGGGTTTGATCAGCTGGTTCTTATGGCAGGCCACGCACTGCCCGTCCATGGTGTAGACCTTCACCGAGTTGTCGTAGTTGTCGGTCACTCCAATGAGTCCCTGTGGCGTGACGGCGATGGATAACGGAATGAGATTGGGCAGGTCCGCTCCCAAGAAGCTCAGAACAAAATTATCAATGCTGCTAGCGTTGCGCCGGATCTCTCGTTGGAATCCTTTGCGGTTGAAAATCTGGATGCGGTAGTTCCCACGGTCGGCCACCAGGACCTCTCCGTGAAGAGTGACGCAAATACTCACAGGTAAGTTAAACAAACCCGGCATTGTTCCCTTACTGCCCATCTTCTTCACGAACTGGCAGGCGGGGAGGTCGCAGCTGGCCCCTCGGGGAGGCTCGGCTGCGTCCAGAGACTTGGACTTAAAACTGGCCGGAGAACTGCACACGGCTTCATCTCCGCCTCCGAACGCCTCCACGTCTCTGTACAGATCTAACGAAGGCCCCACAGCTCCGGCTAAATCTACGTCTAAAAGATGTTCCTCGTCTTCTGTGCTCACGGTGTAAGACTGAGCCGATAGCTTCCCCACCTCCAGAGACTCGGACTGTTGCGTTACCACCAACACCGGCTCCTGGACTTTAAAGGTCGTAGGCAAAGTACTTTTAATATCCACTTCGTCATCGTCGCCGCCGCTGCCTTCCTTTAGCAAAGCGGTGTCACTCTGCCGCATTTGCATCGTCAGATAGTCGCAGCGAGAGACTACTTTGACCTCCGCCACGTTGAACAAGTACATTTGCTCCTCCAGGATCTGCCCGTTGGACTTCTCCAGCACCGACATGGCGGCCGTGAAGGTTCTGCGAGATCGGCCCAGCTCCTCCTGCAGCCTCAACTCCGCCGTGGCATAATCCTGCTGGACCGCTCTGTATTTACACCTCAACGTTTTCGAAATATTCTCAATCACCGTCTTCTTCTTCTGGATCTCGTCCATGACATCGCGCAGGGATTCCAGTTTGGCTCCGAGGTCTTTGCGTCTCTTCTCCGCGGCGCCTCTGATCGGTTGGATGTTGTGGCCTTGGAGCACGTGGCCCTCTCCTTTGCACGCTTCACACAAAACGACGGCGCACTCGTGACAATACTGACGCGGGAGACGGGTGAGGCAGGACTTACACATCAGAGCAGCCGTGGCCGCGCTGCAGGAGGCGGTGCAGTCCAGGATCTTCAGGACGGTGAGGTTGTCGGCGAGCTGGGAGATGCTGCTCATCCTGGAGACCTTACTGCAGAAGGGGCAGCGCACGCCGTTGATGGTGTTGGCTAATAACTTGTCCAAACACTGGCGACACACGGTATGTCCGCACTGCAGGAGCTTGGGCCTCATGCTCTCCTGGTTGTAGGTCTCCAGGCAGATGGGGCACTCGAACACCTCCCGCAGCAAGTCCGGGTCCAGCTGGGGGCACTCCACAGCCATCGTGAAGCTAGCAAGAGACAGAGAAGGTTATGTGTATAGCACAGTTTATACACAAGGCTTAACAAGACAATCACACAAGGCATTGAAATAGTAATAATTAAGGCAATAAGGAACTTTTCATGACACCAAAGGTCGCCTTAAGTCACAAGGAAAAAGGTACAGTTCACAATGTCATAATTATAATAAATAATTGCAGGACAGTGAAAAGAGTGAAGACACCATCCTTCAGTTGTCTGCACAGCTGAACAAAACAAAGCCTGTCTCACATTTTCAAGAAGACTGTTCCAGGTTTCAGCTGCATAGATCTGTAACGCTGCCTCCTCATGTTTAGTCCTGACTCAGAATTTGGACATCCCTTTGGACCGCGGATCTAAGCTACAATTATACTAAAGCACGATTAAGAGATCATTTATTTGTCCCACAGTGGGGAAATTTCAGTGTTGTATCACAAGTTATAGAACAGTAGGAAAGAGGAGCACACGGTACACGTTAAGTGAACAATATATATACTAATTAAAATAAAACAAAATCTCTAACTCTAGCATCAATAATAGGTTTAAAAACTATATTTAAAATAACAATAAAAGAGGTGTAAAAGTTTTACATTTGGCAACACAGAATTAACACTTTTTTTTTCATTTATTTAATTATTACTAGAACTTCTACAGCAGTCAGTTCGACGTCTTTTAGTGTTGAAAGTGTAATCGCTCATTGGTCGTCATAACTTGAATTTTTCTGTATCTATGTAGTTTATTCTATATTGCTCCCTTTAACTCCCAGAGCCGTCATTTTGACACAAATGTAAAAGATAAAAACATAAGGTATTAACGTTTAATAAAACTGTTGACATTCTTTCCTGTAACCCATTGATTTGAATGGGAGCCGTCGAAATGACTAAAAGTATCAGAAGTTTGTCAGCCCTCGTGTTAAGTCAAGCTACAGAACATGTTCAGTCACAGTGGCTCCAATGACACTTTCAACCAAAAACGCCTCAAGCACAAGTGAGTTCTGTTTCTCTGGCTCAAAGGGAAAGTTAAGCCTCCTGCAGACGTCGTGTTCTAAGTAAGAATTCTGAAAGACTGAGTTATGCGTTATAGAAAACATAAAAGTTTACTCCTTCAGTCAAATCATTGAGCAAACAGTAGAATCTCTTGGTCATAGCTCAGGTGACAGCTGTGGCGTTGGAATGTCCCTCTCTCTGGTCTCTCCCTCTCTGGTCTGCCTCCACCCCTCTCCTCTCTCTCTGGTCTCTCCCTCTCTCTCTGGTCTCTCCCTCTCTCTCTGGTCTCTCCCTCTCTCTCTGGTCTCTCCCTCTCTCTCTGGTCTCTCCCTCTCTCTCTGGTCTCTCCCTCTCTCTCTGGTCTCTCCCTCTCTGGTCTGCCTCTACCCCTCTCCTCTCTCTCTGGTCTCTACCTCTCTCTCTGGTCTCTCCCTCTCTCTCTGGTCTCTCCCTCTCTCTCTGGTCTCTCCCTCTCTCTCTGGTCTCTCCCTCTCTCTCTGGTCTCTCCCTCTCTCTCTGGTCTCTCCCTCTCTCTCTGGTCTCTCCCTCTCTGGTCTGCCTCTACCCCTCTCCTCTCTCTCTGGTCTCTACCTCTCTCTCTGGTCTCTCCCTCTCTCTCTGGTCTCTCCCTCTCTCTCTGGTCTCTCCCTCTCTCTCTGGTCTCTCCCTCTCTCTCTGGTCTCTCCCTCTCTCTCTGGTCTCTACCCCTCTCTCTGGTCTCTACCTCTCCCCTCTCTCTGGACTCTACCCCTCTCTCTGGTCTCTACCCCTCTCTCTGGACTCTACCCCTCTCTCTGGACTCTACCCCTCTCTCTGGACTCTACCCCTCTCTCTGGACTCTACCCCTCTCTCTGGTCTCTACCCCTCTCTCTGGTCTCTACCCCTCTCTCTGGACTCTACCCCTCTCTCTGGACTCTACCCCTCTCTCTGGACTCTACCCCTCTCTCTGGACTCTACCCCTCTCTCTGGACTCTACCCCTCTCTCTGGACTCTACCCCTCTCTCTGGACTCTACCCCTCTCTCTGGACTCTACCCCTCTCTCTGGACTCTACCCCTCTCTCTGGACTCTACCCCTCTCTCTGGACTCTACCCCTCTCTCTGGACTCTACCCCTCTCTCTGGACTCTACCCCTCTCTCTGGACTCTACCCCTCTCTCTGGACTCTACCCCTCTCTCTGGACTCTACCCCTCTCTCTGGTCTCTACCCCTCTCTCTGGTCTCTACCCCTCTCTCTGGACTCTACCCCTCTCTCTGGACTCTACCCCTCTCTCTGGACTCTACCCCTCTCTCTGGACTCTACCCCTCTCTCTGGACTCTACCCCTCTCTCTGGTCTCTACCCCTCTCTCTGGACTCTACCCCTCTCTCTGGTCTCTACCCCTCTCTCTGGACTCTACCCCTCTCTCTGGACTCTACCCCTCTCTCTGGACTCTACCCCTCTCTCTGGACTCTACCCCTCTCTCTGGACTCTACCCCTCTCTCTGGACTCTACCCCTCTCTCTGGACTCTACCCCTCTCTCTGGTCTCTACCCCTCTCTCTGGTCTCTACCCCTCTCTCTGGACTCTACCCCTCTCTCTGGACTCTACCCCTCTCTCTGGACTCTACCCCTCTCTCTGGACTCTACCCCTCTCTCTGGACTCTACCCCTCTCTCTGGACTCTACCCCTCTCTCTGGACTCTACCCCCTCTCTCTGGACTCTACCCCTCTCTCTGGTCTCTACCCCTCTCTCTGGTCTCTACCCCTCTCTCTGGACTCTACCCCTCTCTCTGGACTCTACCCCTCTCTCTGGACTCTACCCCTCTCTCTGGACTCTACCCCTCTCTCTGGACTCTACCCCTCTCTCTGGACTCTACCCCTCTCTCTGGACTCTACCCCTCTCTCTGGACTCTACCCCTCTCTCTGGACTCTACCCCTCTCTCTGGACTCTACCCCTCTCTCTGGACTCTACCCCCTCTCTGGCCTCTACCTCTTAGTGGCTGAATTAAAGGTTTGAGTAAGATGCATTACATTCATTCATTACATTGTGCAGGGCTCCAGCAGTTAGCACTAGCTTTGTGCTAACTGCTCACTTTGCTAACTTAGCTTCGTGGTTCGTGTTTCTTGCAGATTTAAAGCACCACCATTGACCTGCAACCGTGCACATCAGTCTGTGTGGAGCGGATGTTAAACAGAACATTCATTATGTGGGTCATAATAGAACCATCTGAGAGTAGCATCGAAGCTAGCAGCGCGGTTCGGAAACACATTCACGGAGCATTGTTATAAAATGGAGCCTAACTTCTCCCCATCATCCCCCGTTCATACTTTACCTTCTGTGAGTGTTGTCTGTGGCAAAGAGACACAGGGCGTGCGGTGTGTTTGTCACTGCGGCTGCTTTCCTTCGCCGCAGTGTTGACAACTGGACGCACGCCACGCACAGCACGCACTTCCGGGTTCTTACGTCGTCCTACTTTTCGTTTTGTTTTTAGTACATAGTATTTATTTTATGGTTTATTTATTCTATTAACAAACAGTAACATATAGTACAGGCATCCAAATCTCAAACAAACATTAAATTTAGAGTTTATAAATAGCCAAATTTAAGTGGATAACAAGACATGTAACATATATATTTTTGAATTAAATTTACATTTACATTCTTATTTCGACAGTCATAAGTAAGGTGAGCAATATGTCCTAGAGAGCTAGGTACATAAATATACTCAAAACCAGCTAAACTCAACATACTCAATGAATAAAATACTCATGAAAATAAAGAGAGCACAGTTCCACTTACGGCCTCTGCTGGAGGAAGGAATAACTGCTAAGATCAGCACATTTCTGAACTCAGTCTGCATTAGGAGAGACTGTGGCGTCCGGTCAAAACCAGAACTGATGGTTAAAAGGAACTTTATTTTGTCCATTTAGTCGTAACCAACGTAAAAACAGAGAGAACTCAATCTTATGTTGTAAACCTTTATATTACAATTGCTATTATTTTACATATTTAAACAAACTATAACATTTTTACACATATCAAAACAATGCTAAACTTGTTCCCTCTTTCTCAACTAAAGCCAAACTTTTTTTCTTGATACTTTTATGCCGTATTGTTTTCTATTTGGATCTTAGACCATAGAATAGACTGTACATGTGTGACGTCTCTCCGTCTAATGTAGCGCGGGCCACTTAAATCCTTAAATGAACTAATGCACTGTGACATTACAGTCTATGACTGTAACAAAAGCAGTAAGCAGGTTCATTACTGTAATCATCTTTGCAGCGTTATAATTCTTTGAGCAAGAGTAAAATGTTTTTTTTTTGTTTAGTATTGAATTCATAATGTACAGAACAGGTGCAGGAGGAAGAGTCGGGGGTGGTTCTAATTTTCCCACAGCCAAACCTCCTGATGCCGTTCCACCAGGAGAAACTGACTTCCTGTGAAAGAGCAGTATGAGCCGAGTGCAAAGGATTTAAATACATTTATTCTATTCCACAAGAGTCACCCAAAGGCCATCTCTTCTTTTTCAGCAGATGATGTTGATCTTGTCAAGTAAAGATTTCTAGTTTCTGGTCAGTTTGTGTTTCTTTTGTCTGAGAAGCGAGTAGAGGTGAAGGACAAGAAGGCGACAGGAGGAGGTCCTGAGACAGAGGAGAGGGCTGCTCTAGATCCTGAAACAAGGAAAAAGCATTTCAATAATCTTAACGGGCGCTCACATTTTCTACTGTCTAGAACAGGGACGTTAAAGTCAAATACATCAGAGGCCAAAGCGCCGAGGGCTGGACTGGTTCAATGTTTATTAAACATGTTAAACTGATGCATATAAACTGTTGAACCAACTCCTAACACAGAGGACTGTATTTTAAATGAGTAAATGAATAATCTAATATAATTGTATGGCTCTGTCATTTCAAGTGAAAACAGTTTGCAACAGGCTCAAAAACAAACTTCCTTCAAAGAGAAAACACACGTCCTGAACATTAAATTAAAAATACATTATTTTCTTATGGTTCTGTGCGGCCGGTTCTTATACTGATCAAATATCATCCTGGGCTTCGACTCTGCCATGGTCGAGATAGAACACGCATCATTTCCCTTCACAGTTTTCTGCTAGTTGTGTGTGAACCTTCAGAAACAAAGTTAAAGCTGTATCAATACTTTTGCCCTGTACATGAAGGTTCCACTGATCCTTCTTTTCAGCAAGTGCTTAGTTCTAATACTTTATACAATACACACTGTCCCTTTAAACACGGGAGACACAGTGGCTGAGTGGTTAGCACTCTCGCTTCTCAGCAAGAAGGGTCTGGGTTCGAATCTTGGTTGGATCAGGGCCTTTCTGAGTGGAGTTTGCATGTTCTCCCTGTATCTGCCCCGGGTTTCCTCTGGGTGCTCCGGGTTCCCCTACCACTAAAAACATGTGCAATAGTTCAGGATGAATGAGTGTGAATGAGGGACAACGGATGGAAATTAGCCCAAGGCACAGAGTGATGTGTTCATGAACACGTACTGTCCCGACCAAATAAACAATAAATAAATAAAAAGAATGTAGAAACATCTGAATATTGAAGAACTGGGAAAGTCAGCTATTGTAGTGTTACAAAGTGTAGTCTTACACTGTCCTGTTCCTGCAGATCCTGCTCTGGATCCTCCATGTCCTGAGCACAGAGGTCCAGTTCAGGCTCAGGTTGTGGTTCTCTCAGTCTCTCCTCGTCCACAATAGGCTCCTCACAAACAGGAAGAGGTGGATCTTCATCTTTGGGTCCATGGTAGTGATCTGTTGACTGCAGCCGTGGCTTCTCTCCTCCACTAAACCCACTCTCCTTCTCCTTTGGCTCCTACAGGGTAAATAAGGCAGTTAATGTAAATAGAGAAGAAGAAACGATAGAAAGTGTGGTTAGGTCCTCACCACATGCTCGGAGCAGGGGTGGGTAGAAGTCTGTGTGAGAGAGTCCAGGCAGGACCAAGGAGAGCAGTGGAGTAAGGTTTCCTCCCCCATGAAGCGTATGAGATTCTCCCAATCCTCTCCCGGACCATCCAAATGTTCTCTGGCAAACTTCAGACGGGCCTGGACATGTCCCGGCTTAAGCACTCGTCTGGCACTGAAGGGTTTGAGTCCCTGGCGTCGTAGTGAGTTGCTGATGGTAGCCTTTGTTACTCTGGTCCCAGCTCTCTGCAGGTCCTTCACCAGGTCCTCCCGTGTGGTTCTGGGATTTTTGATCACCGTTCTCGTGATCATTTTGACCCCGCGCGATGAGATTTTACGTGGCGCCCCAGATCGAGGGAGATTATCCGTGGTCTTGTACGTCTTCCATTTTCTAATAATTGCTCCCACAGTTGATTTCTTCACACCGAGCTCCTTACCTATTGCAGATTCAGTCTTCCCAGCCTGGTGCAGGTCTACAATTTTGTCTCTGGTGTCCCTTGACAGCTCGTTGGTCTTGGCCGTAGTGGAGTTTGGAGTCTGACTGTTTGAGGCTGTGGTCAGGTGTCTTTCAGTCTGTCAGAAAATACACTCCATAATAATAAACACCAGAGATATTCACCACCACATTGTGACACCAGAAATGCAGACGATAGAGAGAGCACGAGAAGGAAAAGGACTGGGTGCAAAGAGACTCACCTTAAAGCTGACGCCTTCCTCAGAAATCACCTGCAAAACAGATAATCAGTTTAGACTTTGGTTCAGGGTGTGTGAAATGACTGAGTGTAATTCTGCTCTAACTCACACAGGGGCAGATTTCAGTAAAAGCAGCTGTTCATGTGAATTGTACTGTACAGACGTCTCTAGCACCATCTTGTGGTCACATTAAACTGGACTTTCTGATTTTCAGACTAAGGAGAAAGTACAGTAAATATATATGCAAGTTAATTTTGTCTTTTTTAGTTTAAGGCTTGGAAAGTTCTTTTAATAAGACAAAAGTACTGCTTATTTACCTGAGACCTCGGACATGTTTCGGCGGTGGAGACGTGTGACGAAGGCGGGAGTCTACTGCTGAAACATGTCATTTTTTTAGCTTGTTCTAGTCCTGTACGTTTTACCTTGTTTTACGTATGTCCTTGTCGGGGGCATTGCAAAAGTATTCCAATGTGGTTTTACTGCAAATGGAAAATAAAATGAATCTGAATCCTACTGTGATGGAGAAACCTGCAAAGAGAGACCTGTGACGCCTGAGTCCACCGCCCAGACATGTGGTCATTCAGCAGCACTGGGTTTTTTACTTTGTCTAATTAAAAGAACCTTCTAAGCCTTAAGGTCAGTAAATAATCCATCACACTTATAGTGGCGTATGGGAGGGCAAACTTAATCCATGACGCCACGGCGGGCTAAGCAAGGGAGCAGACACTGATGACGCGCAGTCGGAGATATTGCACAGTATGATGAAGTTTATTGCGGAGAGTAGAAATGAATCAGGCACTTACTTGGAATGTTGCTATGTATGATAATGAAGATACCTCATTAAGACAGTGCAGATATTTTAATTGATGGAAACATGCGGTCAACAGAAAGTTCCTTCCCCAGCTCACCCCACCGCCATGACACAGGCACACACACACTCAGCTGAAGTGAGCGCGTGCACTGAATAGACAACCACACCCACTGGACCCGTGCATGATACTATATGCGCGTGCATGTACTAGTCACATTCACACAGAAAAACAAAAACCCTAAATGGCTCCTACATTCCGGCCCCTAATTATTATGTGCTAATAATTACCCATCACCATTAAACAAGTAGGAGACAGAACCATAACCCAAAAACACCAAAAAAGGTAAAGGTCTAGAGTCCAGTTTTAGTACGATCATAGAGTAGTCCACAATCTAGTAATGTCTCAGTTCATTCAAGTAATCCACAACGAAAGAAAGTTCAAAGTTATAATCCACACGATCTTCACTGCTCATCTGCTTCCTGCAAAAGGCACAACTTGGTAATCGGACGGTCCAAAGTACTTGATTTTGTTTTAATCTTCACTGTGCGTACTAATCCATTCCTGTCCGACACAGTATCCACGACTCGAGCTGTAATCCATGAATTACGCGGTGACATGTCATCCACCAGCAAGACAACATCTCCAGGCAAGAAATTCCTTTGAGCACGATTCCATTTTTGACGCTCTTGCAATCCTGGAAGATACTCCTTTAACCAACGCTTCCAGAACAGACTGGACATATACTGAACTTGTCTCCAGCCAAGCCATCCATTCTCTGGCTACAGATGGGGGTAACGAATCGTCCCAGCCCAGACGGTTCCTACAGAGATTTTGGAGGATTTTCTTAGCAGTAAGAACAACAGGTGCCAGAAAGCCCAGAGGATCATAGACTGAACTGACAATGGATAAAATCCCTCTTCTTGTGAGCGGACGGTTCTTGAGTGTAATCTTAAACTTAAATGCGTCTGACTGTACACACCACTGTACACCCAAGACTCGCTCAACTGGTAAGGCATCACTGTCCAAGTCCAGATCTTTAACTTCCTTGGCTCGCTCTTCTGGAGGTATAGCAGCGAGGACTGTGCGACTGTTGCTGATCCATTTTGTGAGCTTAAATCCACCTCTGGCGCACAACTCAACAAGCTCTTTACATAGAGACAAAGCGGCTTCTTCAGTGGCGACGGACACCAAGCAATCATCTACATAAAAATTGTGTAGTAGAGTATTGATTGCAACAGGACTGAAGTGCTTCCGATTGTCCTCAGCACATTTTCGAAGGGCAAAACAAGCACAGCTCGGGGATGAGGTGGCGCCGAAAAGATGTACCACCATTCTGTACTCAACCAGTTCCCGTTCACAGTTTCCGTCGGGCCACCACAAGAATCTTAACAGGTCACAATCTTCTGGCGGCACTCTGACCTGATGAAACATAGCTTCGATGTCTGCCATAAGCACGACTGGTTCTTTTCGGAATCTGGTCAGAACACCAACAAGCTGGCTTGTAAGATCAGGTCCTTGGAGAAGGTGAGAGTTCAAGGAGACCCCCTGAAAGGTGGCTCCCCCATCAAAGACCACACGTAGTTTTTTCTTTTTAGGGTGGTACACACCGTGATGGGGTATATACCACACTCTTCCGTCGCTTCGCCTCAACTGCTCAGCTGTAACTTTCTCTGCGTACCCATTCTTTAGCATTTCGTTTATGAATTTGACATAGTCTGAGCGAAAGGACGAGTCTTTAGATAAGCGTTTTTTGAGGCCGATTGCTCTTTGTTCTGCAACTGTCTTATTGTTTGGCATTTTGAGGTATCTTCGTTTTACAGGTAATCCAATACTATAGTGCCCATCAATATGGTTGACTGAATGTGAAACAGACTCCACAAATCTCTCATCCTCCTTTGACAATCCATGTTGTTCATCCTGTTTGGCCTCGGGAAAATCAATTTTCAGCTGCTTCTCCCACAGCTCATCCAGCCTTGCCACTGAGATCCGATTTACAGAGACGTGAGGCTGTATTTGTTTGTCCATTTGGCAATCTCCTCTGAGTGGGCCATTTACTGTCCAGCCCAGGATAGTCTTAACGGCATAAGGGCCCCCATTCACTGTGCGAACAACTTCCCAGGGCTCCAACGCCTGAGGTACATTAGTGCCAATAAGGAGATCCACATCTGCTTCAATCTCTGGAATTTGAATATGCCTCAGGTGTGGCCAACGCTGCAGGTCCTTTGCTTGTGGAATATTTCCTCGATGGACAGGCATGCTTTTTTGAGTGAAGATCTCCGGTAAATTGCAAAACTCACTTGTTTTTAGACCAGACACCTCCAAATCTGTCAGCATATAGCTATCCACAACCTTTTCCTGGCCCATTGTCCGAAGGAGAATGCCCAGCTTCCTCCCTGTGAGGTTGAGACGATTCATTAATCTCTCGGTACAAAACGAAGCTGTGCTCCCTGGATCCAAGAACGCATAAGTGATCAGAGTCTCTTGTCCTCTTTTTGACTTCACCTGAACAGGCAATATAGACAGAGTACAGTCCTGCCTGCCGGCCCCAGTTAAACCACTGGACTGCACTGACACCAAATCACCTTCTCTGGCCCCTTCTGAGCCATCATTAGCCTGTGTAGAACCTTTTGATCTGTTTTTGGAGTGGACATGTAACAACGTAGGATGCTTCAGGTTGCATAATCTGCATGTGAGACGCCTTTTGCAGTCTCTACTCCTGTGCCCAATGCACAAACAACCGAAGCACATATTGTTCTCCTTCAGAAAAGACATCTTTTCATCTCGAGTCTTTCTATCCAAAAGAAGGCAAACATCCAAAGAGTGTCCAGCTCCACAGAACAAGCACGGCAAGTTCCTATCTCTTGTGTTCACAGGCTCCACTTTCTTCGCAGGTGCTACATTGGTGGCAAAACTACTGCCCCGTGGCTTTACTCCAGTCCGGAAAGATCCAGCTTTAGACTCTTTTCTTCCGGTTCCAGGTGCGTCTTGAATATCTCCAAAAAGAGGATCACTTGCGATCTTAACTTGTTTCTCACAAACTCCACAATGTCATAGAATGTTGCTCTACGGTTGAATTTTTCTTGTAGATCACAGGCAACACATCTCCAACGATCTCTTAGCTTGTAAGGCAGCTTTTTCACAATTGTTTGCATGTTAGAGGGCACATTCAGGTCACCCATAGATTCTCCCATGGAGTTGCAACACTCACGGAGCAGTAAACTGTAGGCCTGTAATGCCTTGAGGTCTTCTCCTTTTACCGAAGGCCAAGAGAGCACTTTGTCCATGTAAGCTGAGGCTACTTTAAATGGGTCTCCAAAATGTTCTTGTAGCAAGGCCTTTGCTTTCATGTACCCATGAGCGGGTGGCAGGTGTTGACAGCTTCGGACTATGTCTCGGGGCTGGCCTCTTGTATACTGCTCAAGGTAGTACAAACAGTCTTTGTGGCTGGGAGTCCGGTCTTCAATATTGTGTTCAAAACCTCTCATGAAAGTTTGATATTGAAGTGGATCTCCATCGAAAGCTTGCAGGTCACGTTTGGGTAACAGGAAAAGGGACTGTTGTTCAACAAGTAGTGATGTGATTTCATTCTGCTTTTCGAGGACAGTAAACAAGCGGTGGTCGGGGATGCTCTGACTTATATGCATGTTGTGGTCAGGTTGAATGAGAGGGACAGATTGATATAATGGAGCCTGTATTGATACTAAATGGCTGGGCCCTGTAGCAGTAGACTGTAGCCCTGTTTGGAAACTTGCTTTGGGCTTTGCTGCCACATTGACTTTATGAATGCTTGTGTCTTCTGCTTGAGATTTCTGTGTGGTGAAAGTGGGCACAAACGTGGAGGCGTCTACATTTAACTGTGTATTTCTACTTTGTAAATAAGAGTTCATTCCATCAGATTTGGCTGATACACGAGAACCTTCAGACGCTTTTAACACATTCATTTTTGCCACAGAAGCTGCCAGTTCCATGTCCAAATCCATTGACTCCATTTTCCTCTTCAACTCTTCTTGTTGTTTCTCCATTTGTCTCCTTAATTGTTCCTGTTGTTCCTGCATAGCATGTTTTTCTTTCAATAGTTTTTGACGGGCCATAATAGCGGCGGTCTCAGCTTCTGCTCTTAATCGTGCTGAGGAAGTGCTTGACACCGCAGACTTGTGGCTCACAACAGTACTGCGTCTCTTTGATTTTCCAGATGATGCATTGGAAACGCTGTCATTCGGTTCGATTTCCACTGCAGTACTTTTCAGATGCATTACAGTTTTCAAAATGTTTGCTGTGTTTTCGTTTGAAAGAAGCTCTTTCCTTGGGAGACATTCCTGCTCAACAGCGCACTCTGCTGGTATTTGTTGTGCATCATCCACTATTGGCAGTTCCAAGAGCCATTTATTTGCCTCCTCCACACAAGTAGCTTTATGCTCCTCCACATTGACAAACCATGCATTCTGCTGTTCCTGCTCATCAGAGGGAACCATAGAAATGACTTCATCATGCAACTTGCTTGCTTCATTAAACAGAGTTGAT